CCCGAAACCCTAGTTCTAAACATTTCGGCGCCATATTACATATTCAACATCTACAAAGTTCAAACACATACAGAAGTGGGCAAAGTAGCTGATGAATTACACATGGAAGCTACATTGATTATTCTCGACGGCCACTGTACTAGGTGTCGACTATGCAGCTCAGTGCACCAAGTCTAGTACGATTACCATCTGCTTAAATCCTGCTAAACTCATCCTACCGTGTGGTAAACACCTCCCGCAGCCCTGTCGGATCCATACTTCTGGGTGCAGGTAGCTGAGTTGTGGTTAGGCCCCAAGCAGGTTCTGCAGCGATAGTTTGCCGGCGGAGCATCCCTGCGCCTGTAGGAAGGGAGACGGCCAAGACCCCTACGAGTGAATGTAGGCGCGTCACACACTCCCTGAGGCACAGGTGTTGTCTTTGCCATCAGGGTGTCGATGCAGGTCCCGGGAATGGTGTGGGAGTATGTGCGGTGGAGGTTGACTGTGGTGTAGTAGTCGCTGACATACTCCCACCCGTTCTTGTTTGCCCAGGGGAAAAACGCCATGGCATGTGCGCACGGAAAAGCGTACTCTTTCCAATTGCCGCACTCACAGCTACCCTCGCCACGTAGGTCGACGTTGTAGCTGCGTGGGGTGGGGTTGGGTTCGTCGCGTTGCCGTTGTTTATCACCTCCGCGAAGAACTCGATGTTGGAAATTTTCACCTCGTAGTTCTTTGCCCGCTCGCACTTCTCCTCATACCGTTTTCTCCCCCACTCCGTAAAGTAGTCATCCCGGGCTCTAGCCTCCTCACGCAGCTCATGAAACTTCTTGACGTTGTAGTCCCACATTGATGCTAACAGATACGCGGGTGGCAGGCGCCGGATGGATTTTACGGCCCCGTTGGTCGACTCTGCCATGTTGCTCATGTAGATGCCGAATCTTCTCGTTGGTGCCGCACATCGAGCCCACTGCTTCTCGTACACCCAGATTCTGTTCCTGCGTGCAGTGTAATCACTGCGAAGGCCTGTTCAGACCCGCTCACCATCCTCACCGTCCTCCAGGGAGTCCTCTTCCACGACGGTCGCCTCGTCTTCTACAACGCTAGGCCTCTCCTCGTTGGTGTTCCCAAGCGCCGTTCCCGGGTCCACGGTGGGAGGAGGAGGGTCACGGGTTGCTGCCGCGGTCGGTGGTGGCTGGCGGGTGGGTGCCGCGGTCGGTGGTGGCTCTCGGTTTGGTGCCTCAGTTGGTGGGGTGACTCCCGAGACCGCAGCTCTCTGAACAATGTTGCCAAAGCTAAAGCATGCAGCTGTTCCTCGCCATCCGCTAGGCACGACTATCGGTGAAGATCGTCGAAGTAGAGGTGGCTCCGGCTGGGAATAGGATGGTGCGGTTGTTCCTGCATGATGGGCTGCAATAGGGACACGGAAACGGAAATTATGGTTGTGCGTTTTACGGTACCAAATGAGCAGTACCCTATCACTTTAAGACGGCCTCTCATGTATGAGACCTTTACACAAATATGTAAAGATTACATCGTGGATGTAGTCGTTACTACCACACATATCATGGTACTAAAGAACGGAGGGGCGCATTGACAAACCGTTGTTCGAACGAACCTGTTGGAGCAGATGGGTCGTACGGAGTGGATGGTGACGGCGTTGCGGATGATGCAGGTGCCCCGGATGTGCGTGTAGCTGAATTGGGTGTCGGTGCTGTGGACGGGCGGGGCGCTGCGGACGGCCCTGGTGCTGCAGATGGGCTGGGCGCTGCGGACGATGCATGTGCAGCGGCTGGGCGGGTCGCAGCAGCGGGCGACGGTGCTGTGGACGGGCGGGGCGCTGCAGACGGCCCTGGCGCTGCAGATGGGCTGGGCGCTGCGGTCGATGCATGTGCAGCGGCTGGGCGGGTCGCAGCAGCGGGCGACGGTGCTGTGGACGGGCGGGGCGCTGCGGACGGCCCTGGCGCTGCAGATGGGCTCGGCGCTGCGGACGATGCATGTGCAGCGGATGGGCGGGTCGCAGCAGCGGGTGACGGTGATGGGGACGGGCGGGGCACTGCGGACGGCCCTGGCGCTGCAGATGGGCGGTGCGCTGCGGATGATGCAGGTGCAGCGGATGGGCGGGTCGCAGCAGCGGGTGACGGTGATGGGGACAGGCGGGGCGCTGCGGACGGCCCTGGCGCTGCAGATGGGCCGGGCGCTGCGGATGATGCAGGTGCCGCAGACGGGCGGGCCGCAGCAGCGGGTGACGGTGCCGCAGAGTGGCGGGGCGCTGCTGAATGCCCCGCCGCTGCGGCATTCGGAGGTGGGCGTCCTGCGCCGCCCTGTCTCTGTCGGCGGCCGCGTCGCTGCGACTGTGCTTGGCGAGCACGCCGCCGTGCTTCAGCTGCTTCGGCCGCAATGTTGTTGGCGGTCGCACGCGTCCGGCGTGTTTGCTGAACGTTGCGTCGGCGAATACGAAGGCCAGCTGGTGGAGTGGTCCACAGGCGCCGGACCGTAGAGGTAAGTCGTGAGCAGGGGATGGGATTCCCGTGCACCGACCTTGAGCTCGTTGTACTTGTCCAAAGACCGGGCTGTCAAAAGCCGCCATAACATGTCCGCGGAAGTCTTCCCGAACCGCTTCACGTTCTGCTGCATGTGCCACCCACAGAAGTAGTGCGCCACCTTCTCAGGGAACACTTCCTTCACCGCCGGGATGAGACCTTTGTCCCGGTCGCTGATGATGGCCGCGTCGTCCCGTCCCTTCTAGTCGGAGCAGTGCTTATCAAAGAGCCGGCAAAACCAAGTCCATGTGTCCTTGGTTTTGCTCTCTACGAGCGCCCACACGATGGGGATGATTTGCTGATTGCCGTCCATCGCGTTGGCGTACAGCAGAGTAGCCTTCTGAGCACGGATCAGGAAAGTCCCGTCCAGTGCGATGACAGGCCTGCACGTCTTCAGTGCTTCGCGTGTTGCACTCGGCGCCATGAAGAAGCGGAAAAATTCGTGGTTGTAAGTCAAAAGCTCCACGGTTGCTCCGCTGTCGATCTGCCGAATGCGCTCTTGCACCGCCGGAATGTAGCGGAATCACTCGCACCAGTCGCCGAATCGCTGCGCCGTGATGCCTACCTTCAGCCTGCGTGGGTGGAATGTATGGGTGGTATCGGGAAATGAGTGAAGTGGAGGCAACACAGTCGCTAAAAGAAAAGCTCCCTTGATGTTCGGCCTATGACGGGTGTACGCTCACCGGTAGGCATTGTTGTAAGTTAACTTCGGACCAGAGCAGGCCGTAATCTGCCTGGCGTAGTCCCAAGGGGCGTTGAACGGCGCTGCACGGACGAAGTTGCCGAATTTCCGCCAAAGGTACTTCCTCTTACGTCCCATACCGGGCCACCACCGGGTCCGGTAGACACGGTCGCATGTGTGCTCTGCGGGATCGGACAGCTCTACGATTCGCCACGGTCCGTTCCGCTCGAGACGAGCGTAGCTGCACCGCCATGGACAAGGGGGGTCCAGCCCAAGCTTCTAACTCTTGCACAACGCTAGCGCCGATGCCCTTCTGGTAGACTTCATGTAGAAACCGTATTTTTGCACTACCGCATCATCAAGCAAGGCAAAGAGGCAATGATCCCGCGAGGAGTACCAGTTACCCTCCTGAATGGCAGCGTTGTCATTGATAGTAGGCCCCTCCTCGGGTTCAAACTCTATGTCGAACTGCTCCAGAATAATGTTACACATGTCACGGCCATTAGCCGGAGGTTCCTCCATTGTGGATCTGATACAATACCTAGGTTATCCACTTGCAATATGTAGATGATCATCCGCTGCCCGGGTTTTTTAACGGCGAGACGCGAGCACATGATTACGCCATGTAGAACTGCATCTGGTGTTGGAGTATGATGGACTCGGAATCCCTGACACTTCGTACAACAGCTAGGAACAACAACAATTCACTTGTCGGTCCCAGGTGGCATAATCCTGGCAGTGGTTGCCACCGGTGCGTATCGTCAGAAATCGCGGCGAATGAATTGTGTTATGATCGCTGGCGCGTTTATTACCAGATTCTGAACACATTATACCCAATCAAGCCCAGACGAGTGGCATGTATATGTAAAAGTGGCGCGATAATTGCAAATATGAACGGACCGTTCAGAAACTCGCGAAGCCGCCGCCAGCACAACGATTCGCATGCATTCTTGCATGACGTGTCTGTCGCAAGTACTCGCACGTGGAAGCTAGTTCAGAACGACAGAATTCAACCGAGTCGCCCGACAGATGAAGTTGTGTAGCGCAGGTTCACGGTAACGTCTCTGTAGATGCGCCTGGCACGCCTGAAAGAATGGTTAAATAACACTGGCCAGTCTTGTGTCGCCACGTTCAACCCCACAAGTCTCCATTCCCCCACTGTTGTAAACCGAAACTGATTGCCGAACCTGGACGCGCCACACGTTCGCCGAACCGACTTCCACACTGTCAGGAGAGAAATGCCCAATAGGATGATACTGCGTGGCAGGGAAGTTCGATGTCAACCAGCAAACTGCCCACCGACAATTTGGAACCCACCAAAAAAATACCCTCATAATGGTTAAATGAAGCTAAATCTGGGGAGCGCGTACCGCTCGCGATAGAAGGTGGATGGTGTGTCTTTCGGGTTGTGTAAAAAATTGAGCGCGATGAAAAAAATTCACGAGGGCAAAGCCCGCGCCGCGGCAATTCTCTCGACAAGTGGAGAGGACTGCTCTCGGCGCTACGAACATTCTGCTGCGTCGAGACTTCGCGCTAAACCATTTACTAAAAAAATAAAGAAAAATATGCGAACAGTAACAAATATGGGGCTTGATACACAGTCATTGGTACACTGTTTTCTATATTCAGATTTTTGATAACTGGGTTCACTACTTTGGTAACAACACTCATAACTAGATGAAGCCTGTAAATTTCTCCAAATTCTTGCCAAGACCTTCGAAAATCTTATTTTAGGTTTAATCAAATAGAAAGATCATTTATCTGGGAGATTATGGTAGCTTTCATCACTCCACCCATCAAGCTGCCTGCTTGCTGCGCTTGCTACCACCAGCACCTCTCACACCCTTCCTCCCGGCCTCACTTGCCGCCCTTCCAGACCCTCTCCCTGCCGCACTGCTGCCAGCAGCCATACCCTTGCTGTTCCCGCCCTGTGCTGGTGTGGGCTGGGATTTTCCAGTTGCAGCTACCCTTTTCGTCGCTGCTGGTGTCTCTTCTGCCTCTGTTGTGTCACCACCCATTACAGTCACGTCTGTGAGCTTGCGCTTGAAGCTAGGAGGCCCTGGATGGATGGATGATGGAATAGGAGACATATGTAACAGCACATGAAAGAGAATGTGACGATGATGTATGATTGAAGAGGAAGCACATGTGAAAGCACATTCACGAGAATCAAGACATGCCGGGCAATCCATCATCTTCGTGTGAAGATCTTCAGTGTTGAGTAATCCAGCTGCTCCCTACACCTGCTGCCTCACCTGTCCGAACCACCTGCTGCTTCACCTGACCAAACCACTTGCTGCCTCACCTGACCAAACCACCTGCTGCTTCACCTGACCGAACCACTTACTGCCTCACCTGACCAAAGCACCTGCTGCCTCACCTGATGCGGCAGTTCCAGATGCCACCCCTTCTGGCAGGAAGCAGAGGAAGTTGAGTGGCTGCTTCAGAAACACCTGTGTGGGGGGGGGCCAACACATGGCGAGGCAGGGGGGGAGGAGCAAACGTCAGCACGAAAAGCCAACGCTGATGAAGGGGCTAGCACAATGGGAAGGGGCACCTGGAGGAGGAAAACAAAGAGCTTGCAGGTGCCTGAAGTTTGCGACTGGGGTGCAACGTGGCAATCAGAACGCATTTAGAATTGAGCTTGCGTCCTGGGTCACTTGAAAACCCCTCTCACTTGTCGTGGCAATCAGAATCTGTACATTCGTACCAGCGATATGTTGAAATGATAAGCCCTATCCAAACCGTTTGGGTAGGACCAGCAGCCCCTTGGAGCGCGATAAGCCCTATCCAAACCCTTTGTCTACATTCTCACCTGCTTGAGAAGCAGCCCCTTGGAGAGCGTACCTTGGCGACGAGGCGGCGCGTGTGCAGGTGGTGTATGCGCACATAACGATCCAGGCCTGGCGGTGGGGTGAGGGGCAGGCAGAACGAGGGGGGCAGGCAGGAGAACGAGGTAGGCAGAAGAAAACGGGTTTGAGATTCACGTGAGTGCAGTGCAGGTGGTGTATGTGCACATAACGATCCAGACCTGGTGGTGGGGTGAGGGCCGGAATGGGAGGAGAGAGGCAAGCAGCAGTGAGTGGGCAGGCGGTGGATGGGGAGATAGCAGGCCAGCTTGGTGGGTGCACTAGTGTACAGGATGAGGCAAGGAGTGCATGGGTGATTGGGGAAAGGGGAGAGGAAGGATGGGAGGAGAGAGGCAAGCAGCAGTGAGTGGGCAGGAGGTGGATGGATGGGGGGATAACAGGCCAGCCGGGTAGGTATGCGAGTGAACAGAGGATGGAGGCGAAGGTTGAGGGGTGCAGGGATGAGGAGGAGTGTAAAGGTGATGTGGGAGAAGGGAAAGTGTTGGGAGAAGGGAAAGTGTTGGGAGAAGGGAAAGTGTTGGGTGAAGGGAAAGTGTTGGGTGAAGGGAAAGTGTTGGGTGAAGGGAAAGTGTTGGGTGAAGGGAAAGTGTCGGGTGAAGGGAAAGTGTTGGGTGAAGGGAAAGTGTTGGGTGAAGGGAAAGTGTTGGGTGAAGGGAAAGTGTTGGGTGAAGGGAAAGTGTTGGGTGAAGGGCGGGGAGGGACAAGCTGCAACAAGTGCTGCAGGAGGGTTGTATGATGGTGGGGTGAGAGACAGGGGTAACCAGGGAGTGAGCAGGAGATTATAGACTTGCGAAAGGGGTTTTATAACACCTTCAGGAAGGCATTGGCAAACAACGACGCAAGTAGTCCTCGCCTCGTTTTGCCTGACTCGTTCAAGTAACGAGGCGAGGCGAGCATTACTTGTGGCGAGTACTGTTCGCGATTGGCCGACTCGCAACTCGTCCGGAAAGGAGAGTAGTGAAATACTCGCAGCGACGCAAGAATTCAGAATATTCCTATCTGGAGCTCGTGTGATGTGAAGTGCGAGCACATACCACAGAAGGCCACGAGAGGCAGCAATGGGTGCATGGTGAGGGAACAAATGGAGCCGGCACACTCGCCCTTGAACGGGTGAGTGCACACATGGTGCACAAGTGGCAAAAACATACCGCATGAGGCTACAATAGGTAGCGATGGGTGCATGGCGAGGGAACGAATGGAGCCCGCACACTCCCCCTTGAATGCTCCAGCGATGCGACCTGTGGCATGCATGTGGTGTGCGCAAGAGGAGCAGGGGAAGGGAGTTGAGGCGAGGAGGGGAGGCAAGGCCAGGGGAGAGGACAGGAGGGGAAGGGATGGGAGGGGAAGGTAGGGGAGGGGAGAGGCGGATAGGGGAGGGGAGAGGAGGGAAGGGGAGGAAAGGGGAGGAGAAAGCCCCATCCTCATGCGACCCCCATCCTCATGCGACCCCCATCCTCATGCGACCCCCCCATCCTCATGTGACCCCAATCATCCTCATGTGACGGCATCATTGCATCTTGCGCTTCCCCTGGCCACACCTTCACGCATCACCAAATCACGTTGATTTTGCATTCACGCAGTGCCTCGTAGCACTGGTAGCACCTCGTAGCACCTCGTAGCACCTCGTAGCACCTGGTAGCACCTCGTAGCACCTGGTAGCACCTCGTAGCACCACGTCCCACCACAGCCACTGACTCACCGTGTGTCAGATCGACCAGCTTCATCTCCCCCATGCCCGTCCCAACCGTCACCGCACTGCACTCCTCCCTACCCTTGCTCCAGACAGCAGCAAGGGATCGAATCGGCACGGATCCCAGAGAAACAACTCTGAGGGGGCGCGGCTGCAAGAGCAGGTCGAAGACGCGAAGGGAGTTGTCCAGGCAGGCGGTGACGAGGCGTGTCGGGTGGCATGCGCTGACGTGGCACACCGCTGTCACGTGCTTCGGTGCCACCACACCGTACGGGCTAGGGAGTGGCTGGCGGGAGGGGGATGTGTGGGAGTGATGGAAGGGGGAAGGAAAGATATAGAGGGAAGGAAAGAAGGGCTTGGGTGCTTCGGCGCCACCATGCCGCACGGGCTTGGTAGTGGCTGGGGGGATGAGAGAGGCGAGGGTGGAAAAGGGAGGCAGGGGAACAGGGTTTTGATTGACGGATGAGAGAAAGGAGGTGGAAAGGGGAGGCAGGGGAACAGGGTTTTGATTGACGGATGAGAGAAAGGAGGTGGAAAGGGGAGGCAGGGGAACAGGGTTTTGATTGACGGATGAGAAAAAGAAGGCTTATCTTGGTGCAACTATGCGTATGACCTCAAGTGAAGCTTGGGGGGGTGAAGGGGGATGTGGTAGGGGGCCTGGTAATGGAAGGTGGGGTGAGTGTGCACAAAGATAGAGGAAGGAGAGAAAGGAGGCCAGCACACACACCATATCAGACCAGGAGTGGCTGGGGGCACGTTGTGCGGGCAAGGGCGTGGGAGAGTTTGGAGAGGGATATGGGAGGGAGGAGTATGCAGAGAATGGAATGGAGATCCAGAAAAGGGGGAGGCAGAAGGGGTAACACAAGGCGAAGGAATGAAAACAGGGGAAATGGAGGGAGGGAGGCAGCGAGAGGCAAGCGCACCCACCAGCTTGGCCTCCCATTTGAGAGAACCCGTTTGAAGGTCCCACACTGTCAGGTCCGCGTCCTTCCTGCCGTGCGGTGGGGGTACACAGAGGGGGCAGAATATGGATTACAAGACAAGAGCGGTTGAGTGCACCCACCAGCTTGGCCTCCCACTTGAGTGTGCCCGTGTGGAGGTCCCACACTGTGAGTTCCGCTTCCTTGCTGCCGTGCAGTGGGGAAAACAGAAAGGGCACAGGATGGATGTTGTACAGAAGAGGGTAAGGGGGAGAGAAGGAGTGATGATAAGGAGGGTGAAAACGGGGCAAGAGAGGTGCCACATTGTCAGGTCCGCTACCCTCCTGCAGTGTAGTGAGTTGCACAGTCGGGTGTGCGCGATATTGATGACAAAAACACGTGAGGGGACAGCGAGGGGCGAAGGGGAGAGTACTGACCCGCCAACGGCAATGGTGGCTCCGGTGGGGTCGACAGCAGCACAGAGGAGACGAGGCCTCTCTGCTCCCCCTCCTGTCGCACCCACACCACCTGTACCGCTGGCAGACGCAGCAGCACCACCAATGGCAAAACCAGCACCAGCAGCAGCAGTCATATCACCTGAGCCCCCTCCTGCGCCTGACTCGCCACCCACGTCACTCTCAGCACCACCCTGTCTCTTCCTCTTCTTCTTTGACGGCTTGCGCGGTGCAATCGCCACAAACCGCCGCACCAGCCGCTGCTCCGCCTCCCACTCTGCACCCTCATCTTGCTCCACTCTCCCCTCTTGCCCTTCTCCCACCCCCTCTCTTCCTCCCTCCTCCTCACCCTCACTCACCTCCTCCCCCTCCTCCAACTCCTCCCCTTCCTCCAACTCCTCCCCCCTCCCACTCCCTCTCTCTCCCTCCCCCACACTCTCAGGCTCCCCTCTGCCCCGCCTAGGCACCAGCGCCACCTCTCGCACGCACACCAACCCATTGTGTGACACAGATACCAGCAACCACACCTGTCTCCTCGCCTGCTCTTCCTGCACTCCTTGCTCCCCCTGCATCCCCGGATCGGCTGTGTCTCTATCTGTGGCGTCATCTCCTGGCGTGGCAGCAGCATTGGGCAGGTGGGGAAGGAGGGAGAGCGAGCAGCACGCACCATCCAAGCTCGGATCCGCTAAACCCCACGCCCCCTCTGCCAAACTCTGCTGCCCCTCTCCTCCTCGTCCGCCTGCCTCCCTGCCCTCCCCATCCCCCTGTCCCGCCTCCCCCTCCCCCTGCTCGCCGCCACCCCCCTCTCTGCAATGGCTACCGCTCTGCACTGCTGCGCACCCCTCGCCCTGCAGGCAGCCTTGCCAGACGGGGAAGGAGAGCAGCAGGCGGAGCTGGGGAGAGGTGCTGGCAGGAGGAGGGGCGGCGCCAACGCCGTCACCCCCCTCTGCTGCCTCACCTGCAGCTGCTGCTGCTGATGATGGTGCTGATTCTGCTGGTGCCTCTACTGTGGATGGAGAGGGTGGAGCGGGTGTTGAAAGCAGCAACACATCAACCTGAATGAAGGCGCGGGAGTGTAGGAAACGCAAGGAAGGAGTGGGTATACAGAGAGAAGTGGCAAGGAAAAAGGTGGGCATTGAGTGAGGAGGAAAGACGCATGTGTAAACATCCTGAAAACAGGAGGGGAAAGAAAGCGACGCGGAAAAGGAAACATCGGCAATCGAGAGGCGAAGTCTGCTTTGCTGACACATTGTGCATCCCCTCGAGCAGTAATCCATGCAAATGCCAAGCTTGCCCTCAAACCCAAAAATCTTCCCTGCCCAGCGTTTTCTAAAGCCCCAAGCTGGTCTGTCATGCCTTTTCTACAACCCCCAACCCACCATGCCATCTGCCACATTCTGCCAATCCGCGCACTGAGGGATGGAAAGAAGACCTTCAACCAGCCCTGCCCTGCCTCCCGTAAAGCCCTGAACCCTTAACCTGCCATGTCATGTGCACCCTAAAACCCCGAACCCTGAACCTGCCATGTCATGCCCACCCTGAAACCCCGAACCCACCATGCCATGCTTGCGGCCGACTGCCACAATCTGCCCATCCACACAGAAGAAGAAACGGAAAGAAAGGAAAGGAAGTCACATTTCATCATCTAATGACCAGGATTCATATTGAGTAACATAATATTGAAGAACGCCGTTCAACTGAAGAAGATCTGACTGCTCACTGAATTAAAGGGGTGGGAGGGAGGGTGGAGGGGAAAGCTGATCCAACAGATTGTGAAACCCTAAACCCCAAAGCACGGGTTCGTCCTGTCACACCTGCTTGATGCTTCAAAACCACTTGCTTTCCCATCCCACTCAAGCCAATGCCAAAACAAGTGCTTTGAGAAGAGCTTAAACCCCGATACTGTAAGCTCCGCGCAAGACTATCCTAACTTCTTGTTCACAACAGCTCACACCGGACTTAGACGACTGTTAGAACCCGCATTAAGCCCTTCGGCCGTTTAAACCCAGAAACCTAGATCCCTCGCCCTCACTCACTCACCGACGATCGCTCGTCTACTGCCACACACGCCGACGAGCACACTGCCGAACGTCCCTTATCCGCTTCGCCGAACCTAACCACTTCGGACTGCGCCGAACTGGACGCACCGGTTGGGGGACCTGCCGACCCTCCTGCTGCGGCGCTTTTGTTCTGCCCGAGAGAAACCACTGCATGCGGGGAGCAGTGAGAAAGGGAAAGAGAAGAGTCGGTTGGCGAAATGCACGAACGTTGAACGGTTACAGCTCGGAATTGCGTCTAGGATAGGGAGAAGGAGGGGAGAGACGAGAGGCGCCGAGAGGCGAGGGGCGAAAGAACTACCGAGGGCTAGTCGCGCAAAGAATCACCACGCGTTAGACGCTGTATTCGATCGCTGATGGGTGTACCTTTGAGTAGCCCGAGCTCGTCGCCCGTGAGCAGTCGCACAGGCGGGCATGCGACGACTTCGCCGCGATCGACCTTCGGCATGGCTGAAAGGGAGCGACGGCCGTCTCACGGCGGGTCTGCGACTCGATCAGCTCGTGCGATCAGACTATTGGCTCGTGCGAGCTCACGGTTCACTCGTGGGTCCAGGATGGGTAAATGTTGAGTGAACTCAAATCAAAGAGCGTCCTCGGAGGGAATGAATTGTTGCTTGACGAGATTTGGGTCCTTCCTGCGTTTGATATTTCGCAAACGAGAGTTTTACTCAATCCCGCGCAATCTCGGTTTGTTTTATTATCGCCACGTGGCATGCCTTCGATCACGTGAACCGCGATCTGTTTTATTGTTAGAGAAAACATGTCAATGGTAACTTACATGGAGCACTATAACGCACACGGTAACGATTTCAACGCGTTTGGTAACTCGCTTAACGCGTTTGGTAACTCGCTTAACACGTTTGGTAACTCGCTTAACGCGTTTGGTAACTCGCTTAACACGTTTGGTAACTCGCTTAACACGTATGGTAACTATACACTAGCAACCCATCACGCAAATGGTAACTAGAAGAAACCCTCGCCAAAATGACCCTGATTCTGGTTTTTCCCGCTCGCGTCAGACTAAATTGACGAATCTTGAAGCAGAAACCTCTGACACACTCTCCGAGATTCTGATACATTTTCCTGAAATTCTGACACACTTCCCGAAATCCTGACACGCTTTCCGATTTTCAAGCTAAATGCAAAAACGTAAGTGCTGTAAAAACAAATGTTTTTACACAACTGATATTCTGGTGCTCTTTCCGCAAACTTTTTGTACTTCATTCTGTCGTTCAGCCGGGGCAAACAAATCTATACCCCTTTCAGATGTCAGAATATTATGCTCTAGCCTGTAGTGGGGTGCTCTATAGCGAGTACAACTCTTCTAGGGTTTTGCTATTTGTATCCCCATTCTTGCTAGTGCAACCCTCTTCTTTCTTCTAAACTTTAACATGCTATCAGAGCAGGTCGATCCCCTTGGATCGATCCTGTGGGTGGGCTCACCACCTTGTTGCTTCCGCTGCAACTGCTACTGCTACTCTCTGTGCCGCACGCCCCGTGGCGTGCGGCAGTTTTTCTTCCCGCCGTGCGCCCCGAGGCGCGCGGCGGTTTTCTGCCCGCCGTGCGCCCCGAGGCGCGCGTCGGTTTTCTGCCCGCCGTGCGCCCCGAGGCGCGCGACGGGTTTCTGCCCCGTCACTCGCCGCGTCGCCCCCGGGAGGCGCTGCGACGGGCGACGGGGACCCGTCGCGCCGCCCAGGGGAGCCGCGCACGGCCCCTGCTGCCCCGTCGCGCGGCCCTGCTGCCCCGTCGCGCTGCCCAGGGGAGCCGCGCGCGGCCCCTGCTGCCCCGTCGCGCGGCCCTGCTGCCCCGTCGCGCTGCCCAGGGGAGCCGTGCGCGGCCCCTGCTGCCCCGTCCCGGACCTGCCCCGGCCCCGACCTGCCCCGGCCGGCCCCCCCCAGGGTCGCCTCGACAGGCGACGGGAGGGGAGTCTACAGGGGGCCGCGCGTTGCCCCCCCCCCCCCTACCTCCCTACCCTGTTTTTAGGGTTTGGGGGGTGGCGGTTGGGGGGTGGCGGTTGGGGGGTGGCGGGTGTGTGGCGTCGCCTGCTCCTCCTCCTCCTTCGTCTCCCACTGCTGCAGCTATCGCTGAGGGGGGTGGATGTGTGGGAGTGTACGGAGTGGTGCTAGGGGGGTGGAGTGTGAGTAGAGCTAGGGTTTGAACAGGGGGTGTGTGAAATGGGGGTGGGACAGTTGGGGGAGGTTGAATGGAGGCGGTCGTCGTGTCGTCAGCAGCAGCAGCAGTCCGGAGGCTACAATCTCCGGTAGTCGCCAGTCGCCCGTGGGTCCGTTGCTCGTCTGCCGCTACTTTTAGCCGCGGGGCCAGTTACCCCAGTAGTCCGGAGCGCTGTTCCGGTAGCCACTGAGCCAGCAGCTCGTCTGTGTGTCTGCAGCGTCAGCAGTCGCCTCCCATCTTCTCTCCCCCACAGTCTCTCCTCCTCCTCACTTGCCCTCTGTGATAGCCTCTAGCTTTGCTTATATTTGTTAACTATAAAACTGCTACCTCTTGTACTTGTGCTCAGAATGTGTGGTGACATTGTGATCCACCCTGAGCTTGTTTTCTTTTGCTTGCTCTGCTGATTACACCCCACTTTGGCTATGGGGGTGTGTCAGAATATTATGCTCTAGCCTGTAGTGGGGTGCTCTATAGCGAGTACAACTCTTCTAGGGTTTTGCTATTTGTATCCCCATTCTTGCTAGTGCAACCCTCTTCTTTCTTCTAAACTTTAACATCAGATGGCAAATAAATTTGGGAGAATCAACCCTAAACTCTTTGCGACAAGGCGTTTATGGTTCTTTAAAAAAAAATGAAACATGTAATTATAAATAGGTGTATATTTTCTACATGCAAAAAAATGACCAACGTTGCAGTAATTACCAAAATTAAAAGCCCCAAGGTCCTTTCGCGGAATGCGTTTTTTTATCATTTTGCAAGTTCGCAATTATGCTATAAAAAATATATTGAACCGTTTTTGAACGATATATATATATATATAAACTTTAAAACTTTTTGGCCCGTGGTAATAGAACAAACGGGGTCCTTCAAACTCGTGTCAGAGTTATATGACATAGCTACTGTAGGCTATAGTGGGGTAGCACATATGGGGTACAGTTGCCTAGGGTTTGCCTTTTTGTACCCAACTTTCACTTAGTCATTTCATTCCTGTTTTCTTGATTCACATGGTATAGAGCGGGTTCCTACATGGGACCGTTCCTTCCTAAGGGCCCACCATAAGAATTTTTTTTTTAGCTGCCCGCGCACATTGCGCCCTGCCCTAATTTTTTTTTTTTTAGCGGCCCCTACGCTGCCCCTACGCGGCCCCTACGCCGCCTCTCACGCGCCCCCTATGCGGCCCCTGGCGACGCCCTGACGAGGCCCCTGCCGGCGCCCTATCGCGGCCCCTGACGCGCCCCCTGGTGGCGCCCTGACGCGGCCCTGACGCGGCCTGACGCGGCCCCTGGCGGCGCCCTGACGCGGCCCCTGCCGCGGCCCTGACGCGGCCCTGCCGCGGCCCCTGACGCGGCCCTGACGCGGCCTGCCGCGGCCCCTGCCGCGGCCCTGAAGCGGCCCCTGACGCGGCCCTGACGCGGCTCTGCCGCGGCCCTGACGCGGCCCTGACGCGGCCCTGCCGCGGCCCCTGGCGGCGCCCTGACGCGGCCCCTGACGCGGCGCCCTGACGCGGCCCTGCCGCGGCCCCTGACGCGGCCCCTGCCGCGGCCCCTGACGCGGCCCCTGACGCGGCCCCTGTCGCGGCCCCTGACGCGGCCCCACCACCTACCTTTCCGGCCACGCCGCCTCCTCTCAGCGGCCCCGCCGCCTCCTCCCAGCGGCCCCGGACGCCGCCCTCTCAGCGGCCCCGCCGAGCCGCCCAGCAGCCTAGCCGCCCAGCAGCTAAGCCACCGAGCCGCCCAGCAGCCGAGCCGCCGAGCCGCCCAGCAGCCGAGCCGCCCAGCAGCAGAGCCGCCGAGCCGCCCAGCAGCCGAGCCGCTGAGCCGCCCAGCCGCCGAGCCGCCCAGCAGCCGAGCCGCCCAGCAGCCGAGTCGCCGAGCCGCCCGAGCCGCCCTGTCCGGTAAGAGCAGCGCCTCTCTCACAGCACTGCCCTCACCCCACTGTTTGCGCTGCTAGTCTACTGCTGTCATGGCTACCCCTAGTGTCCTCGCTTTTGACGCTGAGGGTCGGGCCATTGACTTTGACGTCTGGATAGATGACCTGCAGCTTTTCTTACAGTGCGATAGGGCAGACGGCCTCTCCCTCTTTGACCTCACTTCTGGTGCCTCTCCTGCCCCCGCCACTGATGCTGACGCAACTGTTCGCTCCCAGTGGGCCACGCGCGATGCTGCTGCACGTCTTGCTGTGCGTCGCCACCTGCCTACCTCTGAGCGTGCGCACTTTAGCCAGTACAAGAGTGCTCAGACCTTGTACGACGCTGTAGTTGCACGCTACTCCTCCCCTGCCACTGCTGCACTGAGTCGCCTCATGCTACCGTACCTCTTCCCTGACCTTGCTGCCTTTCCTACAGTCGCTGACCTCATTACGCACCTACGCACTAGTGACACTCGCTACCGCGCTGCGCTTCCTGCTGAGTTCTGCGCCAAGAACCCCCCCCCCATGTACATCACCCTCTACTACATAGTCACCCGGCTCCCTGACTCCCTTCGCGTAGTCAGGGACCACTTCCTCTCAGTTTGCCCCACCACTCTCACCGTTGACCTCCTCGAGAAGTCCCTCCTAGCAGCAGAGAAGAGCATAGTAGCTGTAGGAGCCTCTCGTGGTGACCCTCGCACCCCCATCTTTGAGGGGTGTTCCCCCTCCCCCCTTTTGCCCTTTGTTGCCTCTGCTGCTGCGGCTGACCTCGTTGGGCTTGAGTCGGTCGGTGCGGCGTCTACCCCTAGCGGGAGACGCCGCCCTGGCAAGGGCAAGGGGGGCAGGGGCGCTGGAGGAGCTAGCGGGGGCGGTGGAGGCGGCAGTGGAGGCGGTGGAGGAGGTGGGGGTGGCGGTGGGGGTGGTGGCGGGGGTGGAGGTGTCGGTGGCGGCAGTGGAGGCGGAGGCGGCAGCGGCAGTGGCGGAGGGAGCGGAGGTGGCGGCGGTGGAGAAGGAGGCGGTGGAGGAGGTGGAGCTGGTCGGGGTGGCGCTGCGCAGAGGGTCGGCTCCGG